GAAAGGGCAAGGACATCTCTAGTCATCCTGATCTATATCTTGCCACTGGACCCAGATGACTCCAGAGGAGAAGGTGAAGCTGGAGACTTTGCACAGCCCTCCCTCACTTAAATCCAATTCACTTGTAAGTCATGACATCACTTCCCTGATGTCATGGCCCTTGTCCATAATGAAGGACAAACAACATCCACAATAACAAATTTTTAGGAGCTAGAGGGTCCTTAGGAGAGCTAGAGAAAACAGGAGCTAGGATGTCTAGAAAATGGAAGACAACAAAAAACATAGAAACCTTTCTCTTTGGTAAGTGGTTTAAGTGATTGATGACGGTCAAGAAGAATGAGGGAAAAGAGAGAAAGAAAAAAAATGAATAGAAAGTAAGAAGTTGTTGACTACTGCTACTCCAGTTGAGAGACAGGACCAGTCGTGAGGTAGGCTTGCTTAGCTCCCAAGTTAGGGCAGGACTAATCATTGTAGGGTACTTTACAGCTTACAAAGTATTAACCTCAAAACAAACTTACGAAGTAGTTTATCCAAGCACCATTAATTCTATTTTACATTTAAAGAAGCTGAGAATTAAAGACTCTTAATCATGTTTAATTTGGCATATCAGGAAAGTGATTGTGTGCACTGTCATCTGGAAAGTTCTCAGTGTGGACCTTAAGTTTGCTTTTCTCAAAACCCAAAAACAGTTCATGGATAATCATATGTAAACACAATCTTGAGCAAGAATGACCCCATTACGTTGCTGTGGTGCTTGATGGCCAAGAATGTAATTTCAAATCAATAACCAGACAGAAAGAAAAAAAGTTAGAGGCCTCTCCCACCACACACACACACACACACACACACACTCCTTAATAAAAAAAGAATCCTGAGGGCATTATCCAGAGTTTCTAGTCTTGGTGTGTATAGCAAATAGCGCCCTGCTCCCCTTCTCATTCCATATTTTTTTTTCTAATTAAGCCTAAATAATTAACACTGGCTTTTGAGTCAGAAAACTGGGGTTTGACTCCTGACTCCGTCACTTATAACCTGAGTTACCTTAAGTGACTCAAGAACTCTGCTCACCAATTTACTCTTGTGTACAGTGAGGTAGAGCAATGGATAGATTAATGGGCTTGGAATAAGAAAGACTCGTTTTCTTGAGTTCAAATCCAGCCTCAGACACTAGCTAAATGACCCTAGACAAGTCACTTAAACCTGTTTGCTTCAGTTTCTTATCTGTAAAATGAACTGGAGAAGGCAATGGCAAACCACTCTAGAGTCTTTCTGAGAAAACCCCAAATGGGGGTCAGAGAAAGTCAGACACGACTGAAACAAACACTGAGGAGACTGTACTATGTCACCTCTAATTTCCAATCTGGCTCTCAAGTGTAGAGCCCTAATATGTGAACAGCTGACATCCCAGAGAGAAGATCATCTCACTTCTTCTTGCTAATTCCCTTTTTCTAGAGACCTCAAGTAATGAGAACCCAGTTGCACCAACACCAACCCCTCTGTCCACAGCAGACCCTTCAACTTTCAGTTTTTAAGAAGTTTATTCCTAAATTGAGCCCAATTCGCCATCTTTACAATTTCTTTTACTACCAGTTCTACCCTCTGGAGCCAAGTAGAATACTTCTAGCTTCTCTTCTGTACACTTGCCTTTCAGACACTAAACAAGCTCTATCATGCTATAAGTTTTCTCTTCTCCAGAATGAACATCATTAGGTCCTTCACCTAGTCCTAGCTTCATTTATTCTTGAATCTTTCCCTTTCCTGGTTCTCAATGGCCTTCCTAGAACACATCATTCAGAACTGAACATGATACTCCAATTCTGGACTGACTACAGCGGAGAACATTTGGACTGTCCATTCCCTCATTCTCAATCAACACTAGGTCTCTCTTAATTCAGCCTAGGTCTGCATTGGGCCATTGGGTAGCCATAGAACATGTCTGGTTCATGCTGAGCTTGAAGTCCACTAACACTCCTAGCTCTTTCTCAGATAAATTACTATCCAGCCAAAATTGCCCCAATTCTTTCTTACATAGGTGATTTTTTTTAACTAAGTGTAAGATTGGGGGCTCCTGGTGAGGAACCTCTGAGGCAGATCAGTATGTCCTCCACAATTTATTAGTTTAATATAGTTATTTATCCCTATGAAATTTCATTTTAATGATTAAGCCCAATGTTCTATCTCACCAACATCTCCTTGGATCCCAATTCTGTCATTCAACACATTATCTTTCCCTCTCAGTTTTATGTCTTCTTTGCATCTTGGAAGCATTCTACCAATACTTTTATCCATTAAACACCATTAGGTCCATTAAACACCATTAGACCCATTAAACACTAGAGGACAAGGACAAAACCTTAGATCTCCATTAGAGTTCCATTAGAAACTCCATGAGAGACCTCTGACCATGTTCACATCATCCTATAAATCATGTATCAATTGAGGAACTAACCTTTTCTTCTGGCTATGCAGATCAAATTCAATCTCAGGTTTTTCCCACAAATGGCAAACTCTGTGGCTTCAGCACATATTAAGAAGACCTCCCTAAAAATATGAAAATCAGGTTTGTTTCTTTCAAAGGGTCCCCAGCCCACTGGAAGCACCCATGGGCCAAAGGTATTAAGCGTAAAATAAGTTTACTCAATGAAATAATTGAGAAGGGCCTTCCATCCAAGCCCCATTAATGAAGCAATAGTTACAGCTCCTCTTTGGTGAACTCTTTCCTTTTCTCCAGAGGTTCAGTCATAGCTTTCTCATCTTATCAAAACAATGCCTCACCATCGAAGGCATTTAATGAACATTTAATGAAGTTCTAGCACTATGAACAGAATTGAAGTCCCTTGGTGAAGGGTATCCTTTCATTGCTTCAGAATCCATCTGCTTGGCCTTACCACCCCTGCACAATGTCTCAGGCATTTTTCTTTCAGTGTAGTCCAACATTTCCTAGGGAACTCAGCACAACACTTCTACTTGCCCTGGTTGCCACAACTTTTGGTCTGCAGCTCTCTGTCTCATTGGCTGGATGTCACATCTCTCATGCATTTTGATTTCCAAATCATTGATTTGGAAGATTCCAAATTGATGCTGTTTTCAATGCCTTTTGCCTACATATCCTCCATTTTTTCCATAAATAGAGCTGCAGTTTTGTGTTTCTCATTTTTTTTCTAGATATTCATTAATGTTTTCTACTTTTCACGATCTTTCAAAGATTTTGTACACTGATACTTGTAATTTCAACTTGTATACTGATATGCATAAGATAAGGTGGGGCACAAAGTGTTCAAAAGAGAGATTAGACAAATTGTGTAATGAATATTTGAGGAGAGAACATTAACAGATGAGGAAACCACAGAAAGCTTCTCTGAGGAGGTGGTATTAGAATTCTAGGCAGCTAGAATTCCTTGGAGCAATGGATAGAGGGCTGGACCTGGACACTTCTTAGCTGTATAAAGTTAGGTAAGGCTCTTAACTTCTGTTTGCCTCTCTAAAATGAGAATGATAATAGTACTTACTTTCTAGACTTGTGACAATCAAATCAGATAATATTTGTAAAGTATTTAGGTACCAAATAAATGTTAGTTGCTACTACTTTTATTATTTGTTACCTGGAAGATGGGAAGAGGGGAATATTTTTAAAGAGATGGAAGAATTTCATAGACAAAATCCTGAACTCTACCAACATCCCCCTGGAAATAGAGAAACAAGAAGACAAGAAGTCAAGGAACAGGAATTCTGTCAATGGGAATAAGAGCTATCTTTGTAACTCAAGCCCAGCCTGGGAAACACAGAAAAGGTTTTAACTGGATTGCAACTGGGATAAGTCAGAAGGGTATCTGAAAATGAGGGAAATGGGGTGGGTGTTCTTGCCAGCTTGATGACACTGTTTCTTCATTCAGCTTTAGATCTGAGAAGATGCACCTCCTTGGTACTTTCCAGTTTCTCATGCTAGCAATAAAACTGACTATGGTCTCTGTTCAAGAGACATGTGACTGTGAACCAAAAACAAACACATGCAATTTTGTGCCCTGTGGATTGCCTGGGAGCAATGGGTTACCAGGTCGAGATGGGAACCAGGGTCCGAAAGGAGATAAAGGGGACCAAGGTATGTAAATCAGATCTCCCTGAGTGGTTTCACTGCAGGAATAGTACTGTAGAAAAAGCATGAGAGACAGAATTACCTGGATCTCAATCCTGCCTCTGAAACTTGAGCTGTGTGATCATGAACAAAAAACAACCTCTCTGAGCCTCATTTATAAAATGGGGGTAATGATAGTATTGGTACTTACCTCACAGTGCTCTTGTGAGGCACAGATGAGCTGATAAATGTAAAGTTCTTCGCAACTTTTAATGCACTATAGAAATGATATTTATTATTATTCTCTTCATCTTCTCAACAATCATTTGCTAAACATTAACTCAAGGTAAGACATCATACCCAAAGCAATGAAATAGCAAAGATTGGTAAGACATGGTCCCTGACTCAAAGCACTTGGTACCAGGATTTCACGTTCCTGTTACCTCCCCTACTACAGCATGGGAAGGTTTTTTATCCTGGAGGCTTGAGGAAGAATAGAGACTGAGGCAGATCCCAGGGCTGTGGGGAGAAATAACAGCAAAGCAAAGCCCCAGTGGGTAAGCTTATTTGTTTCAGCTCTCTGTTGACATCCCTAGGTTCTAAACACCCAGCCAACAGTGGGGCAGTTTACTTGGCCACAGTAAGCCTCAGGTTCCCTTCCATAACAGGAATTCAGCCTGCTCATGGTCTTGGAAGGAAGAGGGTCCAAGTATTGATTGTTGTCTTATCTCTCCAATTCCTCCGATGATAAGGACAGAGAGGAATGCTAGGCCCTCCTGGAAAAGTTGGCCCCATGGGGATCAAAGGAGCAATGGGTCCTCAGGGTCCCAAAGGATCAAAAGGAGACAAAGGAGAAATTCAAGGTGAGTTATGTATTTGACTTCTAACAGAACAGGGGTGCAATGGGAAAAATAGAAAGTAAGCAAAAAATATGATTATATGGAAGAATTGAGATGGGGGGAACTCTACTCAATTTAGTTCAATATGTATATATCCAGGATCTATTCTGGCATGCCAAAACTCAGGTCCATTCTCCAGATCTCACAGTCTAACTGTGGAACTAGGACTTACGTGACACAATTAAACAAGAGAACTGATAGCTTGTATAGTATATGCAATATTTTCTTTAGGAATGTAGAGAAATGGGAAATTAGCAGGGGCTGAAATAATTTGTGGTGGCAAAGAACTGGAAGTTGTGAGGATGCCCAACAATTGGGAGTGGCTGAACAAGTTGTGGTATATGATTGTGATGGAACACTATTGTGCTATAAGAAATAATGAGCTCAATGATCTTAGGAAAACATAGAAAGACTTGCATGAAATAATGAAGAGAGAAATGAGCAGAACCAAGAGAATATTGTATACAGTATCAGCAATATTGTGTTAAGAATGACTTCAAATGAATAAACCATTTTGACTATTATAAATACTCAAATTAACTATGAAGGACATATGAAGGAAGCTGCTATCTGTGTTCAGAGAAAGGAATGATAAATAGAAGTATATATAGAATGATTTTACATATATATATATATATATACATATATATGTTTCTAATGATAGCTATCCCTAGGGTAATGGGAGAGGGGAGAGAAGAAACAAGAGAAAGAAATTTACATGATAATATATATATATATATATAATTATATATATATGTATATATCAAGTTGGACATAATAGATTTGCAGTTCCATGTGCAATCATCTTTTTTATAATTCTGTGTTACGGAAATGCTTGTTTGTTCTATAAATTAAAAATAAAATTAATATTTTTTAAAAAAGAAATAATTATAAGAAGTCTTTTTGGGAATGCTTTCCATCCTGCAAGGATGGAAAGGACTTTAATGGGGGAAAGCATCTTAAGCAAATGCCTTTCTAGGCATCAATAAAGGTAAGGAATGAGCAGTGAAAGGATAATGTGAACACTGGTCTGACCAGAGTGGAAGGTACATGGGAAAGAAGATGAGTGGGTTAGATAAGAGTTGATAAGTTAACAGCAGACAGCTTTGAAGAATAAAATAATGAACTAGGACTTAAGCCTGTAGGTAATGAGGAGCCCCTAAAGGTGTAGTGTTAGAAGGACATGGTAAAAGTAAATAAAAAGAACATCTAATAGTGTTGTACAGACTGGGAAAGAGGAAGGGAAGAGAAAGAAAGGGAGGGAAGGGAAGGGAATGAAAGGAGAGGAAAGGAAAGGAGAGGAGACTAAATGAAAGGAAATGAAAGAGGAAGAAAGGGAAGGGAAGGGAAAGGAAAGATAAGAAAAGACAGGGAAGATTAGGGAAGAGAAGAAAAGGAAAGATACAGGAAAATATAATGGAAGGAAAGGAAAGATAAGGGATGGAAGAAAAGGGAAGGGAAGGGAGAGAAGGAATGACAAAAGTGAGGAAAAGAGAATTAAAAATAAAAGGCCATTTAGTAGATAATTATAATTTCTCTCGGCCTAAACTAGAGTGGTGGAAACAGGAATAGTGCGGATGGTAATAAAGGGAGAAAAAAAAATGAATCGCCAATACCTGGAGGGAAGCTTATTGGGTCAGGAGATAAAAGGAAAACTAGAAAATGGAGGGAGGATGGAAAGGAGAAGCTGTTTTTCTATTATCTCTGAGACCCAGTACCACCCTGATGTGTCCACTGGAATATCCTATGAAGCTGTCTTGTGAAGAAATCCCATCATTAGACACAAGGCAAAAGATTAATTCCTTCCCTCCTCTTTTACACTTCAAAATTACTTAGGTCTTTGATTTCAGGGCCAGGTCTGCTCCAATGTGGGGTGGAATGGAGGCCCTGGTATCGAGCTCCCCTATGGATGGGATGTGTCTTTCTCACTAGGGGAAAACAAATCAAACAACCTTTGTCTCTTAAAAGTATTACATAAGACCCAATGGAAATGACAAACCATTTTTGACTTTCAGAACTGATTTCACTCAAGGCTGAAATGATGGCTTTGCAAAGAGAAACGAGGATGCTGCAGGCTTTCATCAACAAATATAGACGAGGTAAAGAATATAACTTTAAGACGGTGAGCCTAAAGTGTTTGCTCATGAGATTGGTGTCATTCACCCTTCCTCACACATTACCCTCCTAATGGCTCCCTAGGTTCAGGTTTTCCCAAACCTGAATGTGTCAGTCACATTCTGATCTATGGAGTATTACGCTAAAGAGGCAGAACCACTCTTACAGCCTTCAATTAAAGTGAAAGCTTTGCTAGTTAGCCATGTCCTAGAGTATAAGTGCTGGACTTCAAGTCAGGATGATGTTGGTTCAAATTTCACCTTGGACATTTTCTAGCTTTGTGATCTTGGGCAATTCACTTTTAACCCTCTGAGCCTCAGATTCTTTGGCTCAGAAATGAATTGACTGAATAGAGTGACTGCCTCAGTTCTTTCTAGATCTGAATCTATGATTCTATGATCTCTAGGGAATACTTCCACCAAAATTTTTGGAGATTCAGAGACAAAGCTACAGAGAGTTAGAGTAAGAACACTGAAGTCACAGAGAAATAAAAAAGGAGGAGGAGGAAGAGTTGGAAGCCCAATTCCAATGTCTTTCTGGGCCCCTCCTCAAGCCACAGACCCTGACAAGTTCTTCTACAAGTTAGAATCATGAAGAATTAGCTAAATTTCAGAATCATGATTTTGGAGGTGATTTGTGGATCATCTAGTCCAGAAGCTGCTCAACTTGAGACCCAGAAAACCTTTTTTATGATAATTTATAAGAAGAAATATTGTGATAACTTTATTCACTATAATTAGTTTATTTTATATAGTTTATTATATTTATTTTATGAATTTAATATTACTCAGAGAAGGCGACCGTGATACACAAAAAAAGTTGCAGAACCCTGGCCCAGCTTTGCTGCTCTCCCCTTACCAATGAGAAAATTGAAGCCCCTAGAAGTGAATGCCGAAGGTCAGCACAATTAGCTTTCAGTGCTCTTTCCTCAGTCCAGTTCATTCCTTTCCACTCCACATACTGTACCAGACTCCAATGGATGACAAATACCTGACTTTCTTCCAGATACCTGGAAGCACTAAGAGAGTCACTGCGGGCTCTTCAGGAGATGCTTTGGTCCCCAAACTTTGGACAAGAGCAAAGAACACCTCTGTCTTGAAATGCTATCCCCCACTTTAAGGATCTATTTGGTTACTGTAAACCTATGCTAGGATGTATTCTGTGGACAGTAGAAAAAAAAAACAGATGAGATCCTGACTACAACTCCTGTTCTTGGGTTGAGGAGGCATGGCAGGGATTATGTGGAGTCATGTTCTGAGTCTTCTTCTGCCATGTGTGTCCCCTAAGTCCCCTTTTTCAGAGCTGAATGTCTACCAAATTCTGGACATTGGCAGGAAGTTTGTCTTCTAACAAGGTGTGACTAGAGTGTCTCTTTCTCCTCTACAGTTATGATATTGTCTGGCATCAGAATTGTGGATGACAAATGGTTTATGGTAGCAGCATATGAAAAGACATTTGAAGAAGGAAAGAAAATATGTTCACTAAGTGGTGCCCCACTGGCAGCCCCCCGGAATGCCAGGGAGAACAGAGCCCTGCAAGAACTGGCCAGACAGTTTGACAAGAACATCTACCTGGGCATGAGTGATGAGGCAACAGAAGGCACATTCCAGTATCAGAATGGGCAAACTGTCAGCTATACCAATTGGGCAAGTAAAGAACCCAATGGTGAAAGGAAAGAAAACTGTGTCGAAATGTACACCAATGGCCAATGGAATGATAAAGACTGTGGACACAAAATCTTAATTGTTTGTGAATTTTAGACTATACCGTAAGTTTTTAAGAGGGAACTGGGTTCACTGGTGTTGCTGGCATTCTCTTAAAAGATTTCCTGGGCAGGAGCTCTGTCTACATTTATGAGATAAATATGGAACTTGGCACTGGTCTTGATCACTTAAATAATGTTGATCACAAATTTTCCTGACATTATATCCTCAAGAGAGAGACTTACTTCAAAAGAAAGATCTAACCAATCTGGAATACAAGCCCTGTAGATAACGAAATAGGACTTGGGAAGATATACACAAGAAACCAGTAGGGAAAATCTGATGAGTGGTACAAAGACAGGTTATGGCCAAAGGGGGAAAGGCCATTTCAATTTGGACTCTAAACATTGTAGGTGGCAGCTCAGAAAGTGGGATATCATTTTAAAAAGAAAATATTTCAACATTGCATGTTATGGAATGATATTGGAAATATCATGGATCAAAAGCAATTGTAGAATGACCAAGTTTGAAAGATGGGTAGAACTACAGTCCACCCAAAGCAAAAATCCCCTCTATAACAGATACTCATCCCACTTTGTTAGAAATGACAAAAACCACACTACTTTCTGAGGCAGCCTCTTTCCATTGCTGGCCAATTCTTCTTCAAAAGTTCCCCCTTATAATGAATCCAAATTACACACACACACACACACACACACACACACACACACACACACACACACACAC